GTCACGCAAGGTCTTTGAATTTCGGTTAAGTTTGTTTCTCGCTGGTGCGTTGATTATCGGTCCGCTTTTCGGGATCAGCCCTCAGCCTCATGCACCCAGTGAGACAAGTGGAACATGGACGGGACAGCACCTTATTGACTGAGGGCTGCCCAGCTTGGGTGGGCGGTAGCTGTCCAATAAAGTGCGAAGACTTCTCCCACCGTCAGGAGGAAGCCCCAGGTACCCCTCTCCTACGTCCATCTAGCGAGTTTTTTGATCGGTAAACTGCCCCTCACCGTGTTTATTTACTGGAGTGACCTCTCCAGGGGCGGGTGTGGATAGAAAAGGAGGCCAGGAGGTGCCCAAGCATCTGGCCTTGTGAGACTGATCTTCGTCCGGCCTCTACTCCTTTCAGGCATGATTGGATCTGCGACTGAGGAGCCATCCTGCATAGCTCAAGGTCGTGGAAGCACGCAAGCCATCACACCACGTCAAGGTGCAGTCTCGTCGTGATGGACATGCAGCTTATAGGGGACACGGACCTCATGAAGAGAGTGGTGCTTTCTGCTATCTGGATATATGTGTGGTAATCGGTTTAGGTTCGATACGAGGGAACTCGAAGTGCTTGTTTTTGGAGGAGAGGAGGATGTTTTAGTATTCTTAGTGGGTCTTTTGCAAACAAATAAAGTCAGATCTCTTCATACACAGACTTCTTTTGATAAAGGCCATTGTGTGATGGACAGTAGAAGTAAATGCCATGGTCGTATATGTGACTACCAATGTTCGCAGATATGCTGCAAACTAATCACACGTTGCAAAGGAAAATGACCAATTTCGAGTGCATAGTAACAAAAAGCTAGAGTAAGGAACCAAGTGCAATAAATGAACATCATAGAGTGAAACGTATCGCTACTGAGTTTACAATCTGGAACTGAAGTTCGAACAGAGTGACACTTGGGCGAAGCTCTTCCTGATTAGACCATACCGGGGGCGCGTTTTTGTTGTTTTGCGTAATGCCCGGAACTCAAGGGAACGTTTCCATGAAGTTAACTTATTTGTTTCATGGGTTGCAGTAAATCCTCCGGATTGATGTTGAGTAGCTATACCAGTTTGACAACAGCCGTAGGCACTGCTTCTTTGGCAAAACGGTCCCATTGGATTACTTCAAAGTACCACAGTGTCCTCGAGGTTAAAATAAAGGCTTCTTTGGTAAGCTCAGTTTGTATAGTTTTATATCTTGTGCCCGTCATCCAATAAACTTACCTTCCTCGTGACATGCCGGAACTGAGCTATCTCCCGAGTGACTGACTTAACGGTCTTATCATCTGTTGTTCAGGATACCGATGAGGTCGGTTTGTTTGCGCAATTTGCAGAGTTTGCTCTAAGGGCGACCTTTATTGGCGGGATCATTCAGGTAACGCAGCTGCGATTTGCAAGGGATGTCCGACCACTCGCACAACGATAGATCGGGTCTCACGGAAGTGGGACGTAAGCACCGTACATGTAAACAACAGTTTGAGTCTCATGCATTTATTATTTTCACTCCCCTTCTCAGAATCTGCATCGTTATCGTTTACCCGGTTCACCGTTGGTCTATCATACAAGTTTTCGCCCACATTTGCTTGCCGTATTGGACTGTTTGTCCAAATATTATGAGATGCACATATGTACTTTCGGGAATCGAGTATATGCTCACAGGCTGGCCTCGTTTATCGATCCAAAACGACGCTATTTTTCACACCGCATTTTATCCCGAGACGAATGTTTTAATCCGGTTACAAAGTCGGCCAATCTGAAGTGAGTCTTCGCCTGTCTTTTTGTCATCACCAATAACCATGTGTTGATCAGTTTGGTTTCTCTTTTTCCGGCATTTAATGTCCTCCCTGTCTACCTCATTACTTTCGGTACAAATCAGATATAGTGGAACTTTTACTTGCCAGTTATTTAATCTATAAAAGCGGTAAACTTCTGTTTACTTGAAGTCTTGTCTTGGTCTCGTGAAGTATTCTTGTGGACCGCGTCTCGCAAGGTATCTGGTGCAGTAGCCCTGGCTACTGCAACCTCACGCCTAGGGTGTTTACGCTAAAGTGAGAGGATAAATAACTACTGTTTGTGGATCTAGACAGATAGATAAAATCCGAATAGCAAGTTCGTCTAAAATATTCCAAACCTTCCGAGAAACAGCTTCAGGTCACCGGATCGGTTGGGCAATAAGGTGCATTAAGCACCCTGAACGTGTATACCGCATCCCAAGGACGTAAGATTCGATTGACTGAACTGTAGTACCTAGCGGTCTACGGTTTTCACCCACCGCTGCTATACAGGTCAAGCTTTGGTTAACCGAGGGTTCCGATTGTAAATCTGCTTTTTTTGAGGGGGGGGGAGGGCAACCCAGCAGTATCGCATATGTGAATAAATCATAGATCCATAAGATTGGTATAACATATGTGTCCACTATAAACCCTCATGCACTACAATTTGTTTTACACAATCGGAAAAGTGTGACAATAATGATAACACGAAAAAGACATTCAGAAAGATTTTTACCATGTCTCACCAGTTGAATTTGTGTGCGGGAAAAAACCATAAGCATTTGACTGACTGACGACAGCAACAACAAGACAGCTGAAAACATACGGAGTAGGCATGCATCAGAAATCAAGCATTGACTTACTAAAAAACGGATGGAAAACCCCAGGCAGTAGTATTGCAGTAAGGTTAAAAACAAGCTTACGTTACAGTTGAGGTCAAAGTGGATTATGTTGTTGTCAACTTCACGGAGACTTTTCTTCAAAGCATGCATCCTTATATTCCACTCTTCTCCAAATCCGACAAATAAATTAAAAAAAATAAATACATGTTTTTACTTCCTTTTTACATATTGAGTATTCAAATGTACAATCAATTTTCAAGAGAGGGGCCGTGGTCATACAAAATGGTAAAAATGAGATGCAAGGGTACCGTACAAACTCAGGAGAGCCCAGTCCTTATTTTGATGACCTTAACCACTCGACCGTCACAATCCCGAGTGGCTTGCTTGCGATCGTGCTGTACGTTTTGAAGGTTCAGTATTTTGTCGTTGGCACCACTCACAACAACAACAACCGCTTCGTACAAACTAGAAATAAAAAACACACCGGTAACCAAACATTCTGATCCCTTGCTAAAGCAGCTTCCCGTAATTTTTGCCTTTCCATTTTTCCTTTCGTTTGCAATTCCCCTGGTTTGTGAATCCCACAAAAATGTGGAGGTTTTCGCTCCCCAGTTCATCTCCAACTCCGCCTTATCTATCAACGTTTTTATTCTACCCTCCTCCCGTGCATCCAGCCACTCGTTTCTATTTATCATAAAAACCGGAGAAATTCGTCAAATCTTCCATGGTTTGCATGTTTCTGTATCACCTGACCCGGACGAAATTCCACCCATCTCAAAAATGTGTTCCAGAATTAGCCCCTGTCCTACGCCTTCTTTTATGTTCTTATTCACAAATCTTTCCCTACTCCGTGGAAAAATGCCATTATATTTCCTACTCTAAAGCGCGGGATCCTTCTGATCCCACTATCGTCCCTCACTTCTGTAATTCCTGAAGTTTTCGAAGCTTTATCGCCGTCGTCGTTCCACGGGTGATCTACTGGATCACACATTACATTCCTGTTCAAATGCACTCGGCCAACACGATGAAACTTATCTGATCTCGCTCGCCATTTCTGAGGCCTTCGATTGCGGTGGTTACTAAGGTTTGCTGTCGAAATTACTCACGTTCGAATTCCACCTGACTCGTATTGTGGCTGTCATGTTTCCTCTGAGGGTGAATCATCTCCAACCGAGTCGATGGAGATCTATCTCGTCAATTCCCTGTACATGCCCATATCCCCTATAGTTTCATACTTACACCCACTTTCTCTATTAGCGATCTTTTGTCCAAAACCTTGAATCTCATTCACTGCTTTGACGATGATATCACTCTCCATTGTTCTCTTTCTTACCTCAACCCTCCAGGCTACTACAAATATCAGTCACGGTCGCAATATCGTTAATGCTCCTCTTGTCACCTGTCTCGGACTCCAGTCCACACGGGGTTCTACAAACCATGTGTTTCACAACTTCTAAAAATTCTCTCCGCCTCTCTTAACATGCCCCTTATTCTCCTCAATTGATTTTTGACTCGCTACGCCTTTGCTCCACAAATTCTCTCTTGGGTTTATCTCTAAATTTTCCTCTCCGTTAGTCTCCTGTTATACCCATTGGCCTCACGCTGCGCCCAAAATCGCTTTTCTATTCCGCGCCAGGTGCATCTTTACACCACAAATCTTGTATACAAAACTCACATCCACTCGATGCTCGAATGCTGCAGTTGGGTATATTCTGTCTTTTCTCTTCTTGGTCGTGCTCAACATAAATCCATCCGGTTGATCATCGAACCGTCTTCAATTTCAAATCTGCAATCTCTTTCCTATCGTCGGGCAGTTGCGTCGTTATCTCTTTTCTACTCTTACTATTTTGGTTTCCGTTCTTCTGAACTCGCTTCAATTGTTCTCCTCCCTTTCTCGTTCTCAGGTAAGCGGTCACCGGATATCGGAAACCTATCTTCTAGTTCTTTTCTTCCAGTAGAATTGCCAAATTTTAAAACGCTCTTCTCATCCCATTTCCAACTACTTATCATCTTTCTCTTTTTAAAAACAGAACCAACTAATTTGTTCCTTCACATACCTCCACTCTTATAGCACGTCTTCGAATAGGGTGTTTATCCCTTTTGCTGCAAGTCGCTTTAGGCAAAGAAATGAATTCTCAAGTCAGCAATTATTCACCTATCTACGCCGGCGTTTTTATCAGAGCTCTGTTCTTCTGGGATCATTTTAAACAGGAATTTGGTTGCACCACGTGGAAGCGTGAGGAGGTGTTGAGTAAGCTTCTCTAGACAGGATATGGATTGCACATGCTTAACTGTCATCTACGGGATTGCGCTTAATTTGCAGTTGCTACTCCAGATTGAAGAGAGTCTCATGGAAATCAACAGGTGACATGGAGAATAAGCAATGGCCGAGTGCAAAGAGAAAGTTTTGGCCTAATAGGTGTCTTCTATCTTTCCCATTTGCGGTGAAAGGATTTTGTATCTGAGTGGTTGTAAACACCAAAGAACATTGTAGCGAACCGACAATAGTAGCCTTCTTATCAGACCAAAATGCCTGAAGCAGTACATATTCCTAGTTGGTCTATGTGTTGACCACTGAGGTTTGCTTTCCTCCCCTCTCTTATACAATCGTACTCTGTTCATAATGTAACCCTGGCAGCGGTAACCAAAGCTTGCTGCCAAACTTACGATGACTAACACACTGTCTAACTTTGCATACGTCTCACTATTCTCCCCTCGGGGGGATTTCCATTGTTATCCCTCTCTTTAAGAAGGAGCCGTGCGATGAATGCACCAAACGCAAATGTGTAAGCCGAGTTAATCTCAGTAGCGTGAAGACCGTGAGGATTGTTTGTGAAGATGAAGTCTGGATGACAATTAGTCCAAATCAAAATCATTTACCCCACGTCACTACTCACAAGTAACTGAGAGTTAAATGCGAATTAAATTTGCATCCTGACAGGTTTAACTGGGATAGTATGCCCCACCCTGCAAGGAAGATCTGCTTTGACCTTGGCTTGCAATTGGAGTTGATAACCGGCATGCTATCTCCCTTCGTTGCCTTTGGACCTAAAAAGAAATAACTGACGATCTCGTAGGACGGCGTCCGAAAAAAGGGGTTGATAATTATGGTCAGCCCCAGGTGATCCTATAAGCAATGAGTCCATAGTTCAAAGTCTGGAGACTATGGGCTGAAATAAAAGCAAAACCGGAGTTTAGTGCTTCCCGAGTGTACTGTTGACTGAATGAACTGAGGGTTGTGCGTGAAGATGAAGTCTGAAGCACGGTCAGTCCAAACCAAAACGGTTAACTTCCGTTATTCCTCGCGGATCGTGCAATACGCGTAAAGGTCAGACCCACCATCGCAGGCTGAGTTTCACAGCTGTCGTGGATGCATCGATCGAATCTTCACTCTCCAACAGTTTTCATAGATAAACTCTGTTTTAGACATCCGTGTGGCCTTCGATTTCGTCGATGTGGAGCTGTTTATTGTAAAATAAAGTACCTCGAAGGCGTGTGTTGATGCTGACTGATTTGCTTCAATATGTCTCGGGTCTCATTAGTGTCTATTCACAGTTTTCGCCATCATCTACCATCTTCGGTGGAGTGCTAGAAGGGTTTCTCATATTCTTATTTCCTTTCTACTCTTAAGAATGCTGTCTCCGGTCCAGAAACTGTGAAGTTGGACTCCTCCCTGAGAACCGGTTTCTTGACCCACAATAGCCCACGATAACCCAACGCACTTGGATTCGCTTGGTGATTGACATTTTCGGATGTGATGTGTATTTCGCACCATTCAAGTACATAGTACTCGTATAAGACTGACACGAGCCTGTTTGCACCAACCTCTGCAGCGATCAACCAGAAATCATCGAGTTTTAATTAATCACGAGCTTGATCGCAGCTGGCGGTTATGTCGCGGAAGAGATCACATCGCAGGTAGAGGAAGCCAAAGTAACTTTTGTCAACCTTTGACACCTCCGTTACATCTGAACTTCTCCCTTCGAGTTGAGGGTACTGATCAACTTTCTGTATTCAACCAGTAATGTCTTCTTAGCATTGGTCGTACATGGTAGAAACACGGAGTGATCAATACTGAGGTTAGTCGTCCAGTGTTGATTGGTAATATATTTGTTTTGTGACTGACGGAATCGCTCTACATTGTCAGTCATGTTTATTATCTTCCTGTCAATCGTCATCTCCTTGAGTAGTACTTTTGGATTGTTTTGTTTTGGTTCACTGTACCATACTGTCTTTTATACCGAGGAAAACATACGTAAATGAAGTGTTGTTATAACCAAAAGTTTGAATATTGCGAATAAAAAGGTTTCTTACCTTGATTCATTTTTGTTGCTAAGCTCCCTCGTCCTCTAACTATCAATGTTGCATCCTTTTTCTCCCTACTCTCGCTTTTCACTAACCACCCTGCTACTCTTAGGGCGCTTTTCCCACGTGGTTTAAACCTTGTCTGCATTATCGACGATCGCGGTGAAGTATGGGACTGGTCTCCTAACTTGATCCACGTCAAACCATATCGGTAGGTTTGGAGAACTTCACTCACCACTGTACTGTAGATAAGGTCTGTTCGTCCTGAATGAAACGCTGCTGTTTTTATTTTTACATATAGTGATATTCGATTTTGTCTGTGGTTTCGTTAACATTTTACATGCATTTTTGCTCTTAAACATTCTTGACTTTGCACATTCGTCATGGTCATGTGAAATGAAGTTTCAACAAATAGCTCAAGTAGTATGATATGGGTTGTTCTTGAATATATGTCGTATTTTTTTAAATTATACTACTCTGTGGGATAAACTGTAGAAAAAAGTGGACCCTGTAGTTCGAGAAACCTATTATCCCGTCATAAGAACCGGAGACGAAAGCCCAGGGTGCGGCGAATCACATAACTCCAACGTACTCCGGACTTTCCAAGCGCACTGGATTTGACAGAGATGCGCGACGGAATGTCCCAGGCTCGTGTTCCCGCAAATGAAGACGATATGAGGCTTAGCAGACCACGGTGAGGAAACGGCAATATGGACAGTGAAGCGACCGGGGTACGGGGTTGCGATGAAATACTGGCGCACAGTTTCTCCGTGGGTCGGGGTTAAACAAAAACCTGCAACGCAACGCAAAACAAATAAAATACTATGAACCCGAAAGGTTCAGTGAAATACAAGCACTCACGATAAAATATTATGGGCGTTTTTGCCAAACCTTACAGTGGATTATTGGTCCGGGCAACGGTGAAGCTGTTTACCACGTCAGCTACAAATGGAGACGTCTTCAAATCAAAAGTTTCCAGTAGCAGATGGAGGTTCAGTGAGCTCCTTCGATTTATGGAAACTGGGCGCTGTTGATTGATGTGCCGCCTCCACAACCAAGTACCCACTTGGACATTGTGTATCACACGACCAATTCTTTTTTTGATGTGTCCGACGGTCCAGTTTGCGTGACCAGGGCGATAATCTCTGACGAGCACGCGGTCTCCTGGTTGAAATACTGGTACATCTTTTGACTCAGTGTATGAGTTTGTGCTACTTGGTCGAATGGCGCCGTGCGTTAGTCTCAATGTCCTGTTCATCAAGACTTCTGCGGGAGAACGGTTGTCCGGGCACTGGATTCGGTGTAGCCCAGTAATTCAACAAGAACGTGTCTAAAATTTCTTCTGTTGTCGCCTCTCCCTTCGACTTGGTCAGTGCAAGTTTGAAGGTGTCCACTTTCTTAACTTGGTTTAGATCAAAATAACTCATCGATTATCATATGTGTAAGTTGCAGGCGATCGATCCAATCGATACCAAGCAAGTCCAATTCACAATAGACTAAAAAGATTGATCCATGACTTCATTTGCCTGTTATTTCCATCTCAAACTCGAATTCGTCAAGTAGATTGATTTTACCTTCGGATGCGTTTCTGGCCGTGTTAATTGTTGGTACTTGGAAGAAAATTGGCTGCCCAAAATATATTTGGGCAGCCAATTTTCTTCCAAGTACGTTAAGATACCAGTGTGATATTGGAGGCCATATCGAGTTGCAAACGAAATGCTTTTCAGTTTCTTTTGGCCGTCACGTATTTCCGACGTAGCTGGAAGTTTGGTTTGATAGCGGCGAGGATAGCGTTGAATTTGGGTTGAGGTTTTCGTGATTTGCTGTAGCGGCTTACAGTTCTGCTGTGCCTTTTGTTTCGGCATTGTCTCTCTTTATGGCCACGACGATTGCATAGTGTACATTTGTGTTTCTTGTAATGGCAGAGTTTCACAAAGTGCCACTCACCGCACTGCCAGCAAGCTGATGAAGGCTTTGTTCCAGCAGAACCAGTTACTGTATCAGGCTCTTTGGAAGATATTTGCGCCACATTGAAAGGATTGTTGGATGTGTGTGTTGTAACGTTGAGCTGAACGAAACGACCGGATTACACGAGCCCCGACCAGTGACAATGGAGACCCACGAACAGAACCGTGCTACCCAGCGATAGAGTAGTGATTTCGTA